CTCCAGAATCCAGGTTTTCTTTATTGCCAATGTAGATTTTAATTCTGAGGTTGCATCATTTTTGTACCATTCCAGTCCTTCTTTATTTCATTCATAACATTCTATTGGCTTTCCATTTCAGCCTGGTCTCTTCTCTTTCTTCTCACAATTTATGGGTGCATGTTTTTGGAAATGGCATTGCTTTTTGGACTCTTTTAAGGAGGCAGTTGTCCTTGAAAGTTTCTTTTTGGTCCTTGAAGTTAATTTTAAGCCCTTTTTTTGGAGCTTTTTTTGTGCCAATTTCCTTTCCTTTTTCTTGACTTTTTTTTCATAGGCACCATGTTGACTTTTCTTCTTTTTTTACTTGTGTTTCTATAAGTAAGAGTCCTCAGACTTAGTGTTTATGAACAGACAATGTGTATATTTCTCTTGGTCCTATTCCTTATGCACTTGTATGTATGTCAGTTCTTATTTCAATTTCCATGTCTGCTAGGCATTGACCTGCTGCAGTTCTGCTCTGCTGGCTATTCCTATCCCATTGTCTGATCATTTGTTACTCTGAAATGATAGAGCACATGAAGAACTACAAAATTCTTAGTGTGCACTGCTCTTAGGTTCATCCTCTCTCAGCCCCTACCTACAGTGCTGTATATTGGAACACTATATTTCTCAACATGTAGCCTGCTCCCTCCTTCCTGCCTGGATGCTTTCTTGGAGTTCTTCCCTCTGTTTATGTAGAACAGGAGAGGAATGATGAAGGTAAAGGGAGGAAGAGAGGAAGAGGTGATTAATACAACTCTAGCTGCCTCAAAAAGCAGTGCATATCTGGTAAAGTGATAACCACAAAATTTCTGGTTGGTGCAGACCCTTGATCTGAGGCAGGGGGCAAAGAGATAGATACTATGTACCTTTTACCCTTTTTCAGACAGTGTCTGATTCATATGATAAAATTTGACTAGGCTTTGAAGGCAAGTGGCGGTAGGAATTTCTTTCTCTAGTTAAATATGCCTTAAATTTAGGAATTTTTATGTTCTTAGACTTCGTGTTGGCTGGTGTGTTGAGTTTCATCTCAGTTGTTTTTACATTATGACTGAGGACTGATGGCAGTTTTCCTTGCCCAAAACATGAATCTGTCACAATGTCTAAACTTTGAGGAATTCACCGTTGAATTACAGCTATGCTCAATAACACATTAAACCAACAGTAACTAAAACACAAGCGATGACCATTGAGAGTTAGCTGAGAGCCAGGAGAGACTTAAGTCAAACAGGACAAACAGGACCAGTGTGGTGGGAGAATGCAAAAATTTTTTCTTGGTGCCTGAGTAGAAAATTTCATGTTTTGCTTTGATTATCTAAACCATACCCACATACTCAAACCTATTTGGAAATAGAAAAGCTTTTGAAGCCAAACAACAAGTTATTTTAAAAGCATCCTATGGTTTAATTAAATTGAGCCTACTTTCAAAACAATAAATTGTTTAAATCCAAATATTTAAAAATAAGGTTTTATATACATGGTCAGGGGCTGAGAATATAGTATACTGTACTTGTGTCAGTTTTCCATACCAAAGAAACCTGGTGAAAGACTAATTTGAAAACAGCCACTTGTCTTTCATCAGTTTCCTCTACAGTTCCCTTAGTTGTGTGTGTGTGTGTGCATGTGCGTGTGCATGTGTGTGTGTGTGTATTTCCTTTTGACAGTTTACAACATCAAGGTGAGAACATCAGGAACGAAGCAGATAACAAAAAGAACATGGAGTGGAGCCTCAAAAGAAAATGCTTGTTCAATATTTGCAACTGACTAACAGGGAAAAATACTGAAGTACTTTCAATATTATAGATCTAACCAAGTATTTAAGCCACTAAGTAGATTAGAGGGTTTACTGCTGCTTATGAAACTGAGGCATCTCACAAAAAACATTAAGCTTTTCTTTGCAGAGTCTCATAACAGCTTGTCATTCTGCAACTAATATGGAAATATGACATTGCAAGGTTTATGAAGTACATATTTTTTATTGATTCTATGCTTTCACGTTGAAGTTTTCATTTTCAATCCAGGAATCAATAATTTATGGAATTAATTTTTCATTATAACTTTCTCACAGCTGCTGCATTAGGAATGTTCTGACACTATGCAGGAATATAAATTGAACATATTTCTGTGCAGGAATTCTAGGGAGTAGTGAATCAAGGAGTTGGACTGTTATAGAGTTGCCAAATATATTTGTGTATTCAATTTCAATATATTTGGTCCTGAATCATGTAAACACCTATAAAAGCACAATTCAAACAGCCTATTTGTTCTGGTAATGAGTGAATCGTGGTAATATATAAGCCTCCTGAATCAATACTCATTAGCAGAGTCAGTTGTTAAGATATTCCAGCAAAATCTCTCAGACAAATTAGTTAGCCTGGACCCAGAATATCAAAGCTTGAAATAAATTAGTTTAGTCTAAAAGTAACAAGGCTAAGAGTTTTAATAAAA